ACCAGTGAGCATTAGCCAGTTCGGACCGCCATCCTTTGTCCGTAGCTTTAGTTGAAGCAGTTCTAATGGCTATGAGTAAAAAGTCCTAGGCGCTTATTATTGTCATTTGTACCGATCTAATATAATCAGCACGCGGAAAAAAAATATCACACTGAGAAAGGAGAGAGAGGGAGGGGGGGGGGGCTCTGAACAGTTGCACCTTGTCCGAGAAATGTTGCACGCGCTCTCAATCACGACAATGTCCATTTCGAGAAGTGGCTTGCTTCAGCTTGGAGCTCACGGGTAGACACGTTAGAATACCAATACGTTTCCCTACCTGTGTTGATCAGTTAACTGGAAAATGCAATAAAATATTACATCACACTATTGATATAAATAGATTAAGTTGAATTAGCTAGTTCAAGTTTACTATAAAGCTGATTTTAGTTAATAAATTGATTTAGATTCGGAAATTAATACTTTTGTTTTGCAGGTGGTATAGAGTTACATTTTTTGTTAAGGTGTCTCTTCTGGTCTGTTAAATTTGCGATAGAATCATACTCCTGAAGAAGCTTCGATCTTTAAAAACTGCTTCTGTTCATGAGTTACAGTGAGATAGGAATTACATTTCTGATTGTGTATGCTATTCTACAAAACATACAATATTTTTCTCTATGTAAAATTTCACTGAATTGTAATATACCGTATAATATTCTGAGCCAAATTGCTCGATAGCTTCCATATAACTCTTTATATAGAAATGCTTCTCAGTACACGAAGTCTTAAAACACTCTGTGACCAAGCACTTTAGAGCTAATGTAACTGTAACGACAAGGACAGTAATGGTCGTAAAGAAGAGATAAAACACACTGACACTTCTCTGTTCAAATCGAAAACATCTTAATGACTGGCATTAGAAAACAGCTAAGTACAAAGTATCCTATAGGTTAATCAAGAAACCTCACAGTGAGTTTTTTTTCTTGGTAGTAGCTGCTTTGGACTAACTTAAAGCTGATAAGCCACCTAATATCACCCGCTCTTTGGGAAAAAGAAAAAACTACAATTTTTGATGGTGATGATTTTACCATCTTCAGTTTCTAGTAGGGAGTGCGAAAAGGAATCTTTTTAAATAAAAATATCTTCAACCTTATTTGACATTATAAGTTACCTCATATGAAGAGCGATCTTACCGATGAAAAGAGTCATAAAAATCTGCACTTACACCTTAAAATCATAATATCTAAACCGAAATTTATATATTAAGTTCATTGCAAAATCAAATAATACACAAATACTCACTAATCTGAAAACAGCAAGCCATTCTTTTGTTTGTTTGAGACTTTTCGGGAAAAACTACACAAACAACTATAAGCGCTTAGCCGTCCCTAATTTTGAGCTAATAAACTACAGGAAGGACAGCTAGTCAACAGGACGTACCGTCCACCGTTAGGCTACTTTTGCTTGACCAAATAGCGTACCCACGGCTGAAAAAGCGAAGCACGTTTTTGCGGCAGTGGGATGTAAGCCATTGTTGGTTTGTAGTTAAGCACAAAGCTACACAAAGAGCTATCTGTGCTCTACCAACCACGGGTATCGAAACCCGGTTTCTAGCGTTGTAAGTCCGCAGACATATCACTATGCCACTGGTGGTGGGGTGTAAGCCATGAATCCTTGGATTCACACTAAGCCATGTTAGGCCCATTTTGAAACGGAGTAGGAATATGAAAGTTTGATTTTACCTTGAAAATTAATGAGCGTCCAACAAAAAGACATGACCCTAGTTCTCCTTTTATCGTTTTTGTTTGTTTCAGACAATCGCGCAAGATTACCTTGGCTGCCCGTCCTCAATTTTGAGCTGATTTACTAGAGGTAGGGCAGCTAGTCAATAGCGCACACTGCCAACCACGGGACTACTCTGTTCGAATAGATGAGTTTGTTGTTTACTCTTATGGCGCACTCATGTTTCCAAGGTGTTAAGAACGAATTTGCGGCAATGGGGCGCAAACCATGGGTCCTCAGACTCACAGTCTGACACGCTAACCATTATAAAACACCTGGCCTTTTTATATTTTTAGCAATATGATGACATTTATATTTAGGGTTAAAATAATAACATGAAAGTTTTAAGATACAAAGAGGTACAAAAATATTTTACCCGTTCACAATGATATTGTCATAATAGTAGAAGTGTTATTTTTTAAAAAGCATAATATACTTTGTATCATTTGTGAATCACATTGACATGATTTCCTCATCCTTCCAAAAAAAAGCAATAAAGGTTAATTATTTGTTTACAAAAAAAAATACAAAAATGTCTGCGCAATTGTGTCTAGAAATGTAAAAACGAGACAAGTTAATTTTATATGTTATTTGTTATAAGAAAGGCAGCTACTCACAGCACCCGCCGTCAACTCTTGGGCTATTATTCCTATCTGATCGAATAGTCGTCACTCTTATAGCTCATTCAAGACTCCAAAGTGCGGAGTGTGATTTTGTGGCGAACCATGAACAATCGGATTCACAGTCCGAGCGCACTGAGCACTTGGCCACATGATCGAATAGTCGTCACTCTTATAGCTCATTCAAGACTCCAAAGTGCGGAGTGTGATTTTGTGGCGAACCAT